ACAGTGTCTCCCTGTAGCCCCAGCTGTCCTGGAACTCACTATGTAGACCAGGCTGGCCTTGAATTCACAAAGATCCGCCTGCCTCTGCCTCCCAAGTGCTGGGATTAAAGGCGTGCACCACCACACCCGGAGACTGAAGTATATTTTTAAAGAATATAGGGACCTATTTACCTTTGTAGAGAAAAAGAAATCACCTTTTAACCAGAAAATAGCTTTATCAATATAAAATGTAATTTGTTCTGTGGGCGACTTACATGGCATTCCTTTACTGTTATGTAATCTTAATTCATTTGCATCTCTGATATTTCATTTTCACATGCATAAGTTCTGAATGGTATCTCAATATCAAAAGACAGAAAGTTAGGGGTTGAGGGTGCAGCTCAGTGATAGAGTGCTTACTTAGCCCAGGGAAGTCCTGTGTTTCATCCCCAGAACCCCACACAAACAGAAGACAGGAAGTCCACAGCAGGCTCCATGTAGAATGTTTTTGTGACTCTTCACTGATAGTCTGAGAATTTAGCTCAGTTTCCACCAACGTGGTTGAGAGGCATCCATTAACTTTCCTGCTACAATGTTGGCCTGAGTTGTCAAGCTTGTACTGGAGATGTGAAAACTTTCTGCAAACTGCAACCACAAGTCATTCCTTCCTTCCTTCCATGTGGACTTCTATGTCATTCAGTCAGCTGTCCAGGTTTACAAAATATCTGCTGCTGGCATTTCTAAGTAAGAAAAAGGAAATGAAATTCAGCATAGTAACTATTAAGATAATTGGTTACTAATTAGAAAATAATTACTGTGGTTTTTTTATTTTTATTTTTTATTTTTTCATTTTGTAAAGAAAAGAAACTGTCCAGGTCTCCAATCTGAATAAAGAAAAGATTTTTGGATATGAATGATGATATTAAAAAATCTAATGGTTCTCACCATTGATGTAAGATTGAATTAGAGATGACTGGGCCATCGAGATGGCTCAATGGTTAAAGGCACTTTTGAGTAAGCCATGGGGACCTGAGTTCAATCAGACCTGAATTTGGTCCTCAGAAACCAAATAAAGGTAGAAGGAGTAAAACAGTTCCACAAAGTTGTGCTCTGACCTCCACAGGAGTTCTGTGGTACGGGTACCCTCTTATATCATGTACACATACACAAAATAATAAATAAATGAGTTAACTAGTTAATGATTCAGAATTAGTGATGATTAGACTTGAATTGCTTGCCTTGAACTTTCATTATTAATTTGTGCACATGGTGTATGTGCATTCATATGAGTGAGCATATGTATGTGTGATAGGTTTGCCCATGTGTGGAGGTCAGAGGCGGATAGAAGGTGTCTTCCTTAATTACTCTCCAAGCTATTTTTTGGAACAGGGTCTGTCACTGAGCCTATAATTCATTGATTACACTACACTGGCTGGTCAATGAGCCCCAAGGATTCAGTGGTCTGCGCACCCCTTCCCCACCTCCACATTGTAAACTCCTGCCACTGGGACTGGCTTTTATATGGGTGCTGGGAATCCAAACTCAGGTCCTCATGCTTTCACAGCAAGCACTTGCCAAATGGGACCTCTCCCCAGCCCCGCTTTGTATTTTGAAATCACATTTTACATTTATCTTATTCTTTCTCATCATGCACAACTACGAACAGGGTTACCCCACGGGACTGTTATTCCAGTGGTTCATGGATGGCAACTGGTGTGAGGACCACGTTATGTTCATTCTGCCTTTTGGGCATTCCAGCCTGTCTTCAATAGCCCCACTTACATCGTGCATTGAGAGAGCTCAGTTGCTTGATTTCATATAGTTTGGCTTTGGCTTTGTGTTTTTTCTCCAGTGAAAACTACTCAGGCTAATAGGTTTTGCCCAATGTGACCATAAATTGTTGTTTGAAATTTTAATTCTAATTAGCAATATTTCACAGCTCTGCCTGGCATAATTCATAATTATGTATTGACCTGCAAATATGAAAAATCACATGATGGGACTGGACAGCTGGCTCAGTGGTTAAGAGCTGCCTGCTCTCACAGAGGACTGGTCTTCTGTTCCCATCACCCACACAGTGGCTCACAAGCTTCTGTAACTCCAGTTTCAGAGAATCTGACAACCTCTTCTGGTCTCTGTAGGCACCGCATACATGTAGTGTACATACATGAATGCAGGCAAAGCACTCGTAGACATAATTCTGAGAGTGTCTTTATAGCAATTTTGAGATTTCCTTTTTAGTTTAGAACAGAGTTATGGGGGGAAAAATCATGACTTCAAAAAGTCATTTCTGCTAAAAGCATGTTTAACCTGGCAGATTTAGGTTGGCATGCTAGTATCAATAGGTCAGTAAGTTATAGGAGTTACGTTAAACTTTCATGAAAAAAAGTTAAAGTCATCCGGTTGTTAATGATACCAAAGTAACAAAAATTGAGTTTTAAGAAAGCAATATAGATGTGTGCTGACATAATTCATAAGAGTAACCCTCGCTGACAACATCATCTATCAAAGCTCATCATGGACAGGAAATAAGGTTCACTTCACAGCTGGAACTTAGTCCTTTTGTGAATGTTATAGTGCTTTAAATTATATAAAGCAATCTCTGTATCTAAATTCATTTTCTATATTGATAATTCCATCATAAATAGGAATTTAGTTTACAAACGCATTGTCTATGCTGATTAATTATGAACAGATTAAAGGTCAAGGGACAATTTTAACATGTAACACAAACCCTTATTTTAAAAGTTGGATGTAGGACCCACTGTAAAGTTGAAGGATGTGACTACCTACTCATCTTCCTTGAATAATCCTAATTGAAATGGAAGTGGGTTGAAATTTGTGCTTTCTCTGGAGAAGTGATATAAACACTTGTAATGGCACAGACATCTCAGGAAACTTTTGGCTAAATGGTGTGTGGTGAATTATTTACCCTGAAGGCTGACATTGACTGAGGTCATGGAGGCAGATGAATCCCAGATGTGACACGTTTTCATTACATTTGACACAGGAAGCGGACATCTAATTAAAGCCTGATTGGAGATGGACTTCTTTTGAATTCCATAGAAATATTCAAATCATACTGTAGAATTTTACTAGTAAAATATTTAAGACTATCATTAAATTGTGATATTTTCTTAATTTTTTTTTTCACTTTTTTAGAAACATGCAAAGGTCCCATCTTTGATCCTGGCTATCAGGATTTTTCAGGAGAAAGCTAAGACTATTTGGCAAAGTCAGGCAGAGACCAGTGGATTATTTCTCATTCTGTTTGTGGCCACAGACCAGGTCCAGGTTCAGATGACCCTAAAGCCGTGGCAAACATTTCCTTGGCTGGTGGTCAGGGCATGCCAAGGCAACATTACAAAGGACCTTTCCTGCACTACTCCTTTTGCCTGTAGACCCCGCATCATGATGCAGACCTAGCTTGAGACAGCCATTTTCACCCCTTTTTGCCTCTCCTCCCTCTTCTCCCCCTCTACTCCATTAGTACCCCATCCCTAGCAAGGTACCAAGTTCCAGTCTCCTCTTCCCAGTAGAGTGGATGATTGCCATCAAGCCCAGCTGTTCTGTGCTTAGCACTGAACCCACATTCCTTACTTCAAAGCCCTCTTTCCCACCCACCAACCACCCGACTAACCTTATCTTGCTGGGTGTCCCAGCCACACTGAAAATCTTCAGGGCCATGTTCTTGCTAATGTCCAGGCTTTGCTATTGCTCTTCCCCACTGTGTTGCCTAACTCTTTGCTTCCCGGCATAAGATACTCACACGTGTTCATTGCATAGGGACAGTGAGGTGTTAATCAATTGATTAACTCCCTGGCAATATTTTCAAGTACTGAATTCCTATGCAAAGCAACCTGTCTCAGTTGTATTGTATAGTGACCAACTGGTGGGGGTGTATGTGTGTGTATGTGTGTGTTTATATGTCTGCATGTGTATATTATTAGAAGTATAGAGGGAAATGTTCATTTTATGTACGAAGAAGGAAAAGACGATTTCTGGCTTAAATTCAAAGCTATTGACTACTATTTTTCCACAGCTTTTCTTTAAGAATCTGTGCAGCTGTAACAGGCCAGAGCATTTCAAATACAATAGGTAAGCTTTTTTCATTATTATGCTATCAATCCTGAGAAAACTAAACAGTAAGTACTTCTCTAAACAGACCATAGAAAACGAAAGAGTCCTTGATTATTATCTACATTTCTATTGCACTTTTAAGAACTTTCTAATAAATATTACTTTAATAATGGACATTATCAAAAAAACATACTTGTGGGACAAGTAGCAAGTTATATTTTTGAAAGCTATGAAACAGAGGCTGGGGAGATGGCTCCATCAGTAAAGTGCTTGCCATGCAAGCATGAGGACCAGAGTTCAATCCCCAGCACCCACATAAAAGCCAAACATGGCAGTGTGCCTTTGTAATCCAGGGCTAGAGAGGTAGAAACAGGCATATCCCTAGAGCTCACTGGCCAACCACTAATTGGTGAGCTCCAGGTTCCGTGAGAGATCCTGTCTCAAAAATTAAGGTGGATAAGGACTGAGGAAGACACTCAGTGCCAACCTCTGGCCTCCACATGCAAACACACACACATACATGCATGCACACACATAAAGTTCATTAACATGTACATACACACACAACACCACACACACGCAAAGTTCGATAATTATATCTTGCTCAGTATTTTTTAACATTTTTTTTAGTTCCTGTGTTATGCTTACTCCCAACTATATAAAAAAAGACATTTCCTGAATTAGCAACTTGAAATGGTTTCATATCCCCGACACAGTACTGTTTGCCAAATACTTTTCCTCCCCTGATTTTATTTACTTTATTTCTGTCCTTTAGCTCTGATGGCTGAGGTGCAATTAGATTCCCTAAAACAAAAGGGCGCCATCAAGCGAACTCTCTTCCTCCGTAACCATCAGTCCCATCTCGTCTTTCCTCTTGTGATAAAGCAGCAGAAATCCCTCCACTGCCAGGATTTTATCGTTTATCTCAGAGTAAGTGCTCTACAAATCACTTCTGCTGCCTCTCACATTCAGATCTGACTTCCAACCATTCCTATCCAGTTAATTGTCATATTAGTCCACAGAGATCTCCAGCTGTCTATTTCCATTTTCCTAGGAGGAAACTATTTTAAGGTTGAATGTTTTCTTCCTGACTTTGGCTTCATCTAAGCCAATGATCTGTTGTGATTAATGTCTAAGGTTTTTTTTTTTGTTTTGGATAAAATCTTGAAAATAGGACTTAACTCAGGTGGTTTCCATTTCTAACTGCCTCCCACTCCCCTTACATAAAAGTTCAACACAATTTATTTGAATTTTTACCCTACGTGAGTATGCTTTGTTAGATTTTATAAGCATGCATTTCAGTCAGCTCAGGAAAATATTTAGACATCCAAAACTTTCATCAAAAATAATTTTTAATTGTGTTTGTAAAGGTAATATATTTTTACAAATCCCACCATGACATTTAAAATCCAATATATTTAGAACACAATTATCCATTTTATGTTGCTGGTTATTAGAGTGCGACCAATGCTCCTATTTCTTCTCTTTCTCCAAGGGACTTAGTCAGCAAGGGGAATCCTAGTGCAGACCAATGGTTCACAAGGGCACTCGGGAATGAGAAGTCAGGCACATAAGACCCTCCTGTCTTATTATGGGCCTGACTGGGAGGAACCAAAGGGTTAGTGCCCACTCCTCACTGTGAGGACTTCCAGTTCTTTACCGAGAAAACTTCAAATGTACTAACAGTATCTTGAAGTTCATGAAACAACTTAAATAACACAAGAGGAAGAGAATTTAGAAAGTTTTCTTCCTCTAAATCCAAGAACCTATAAATTCTAGCAACTTCTTCGAAGTAAAAAAAAAAAATCCTGATTCATGAAAGTTTTTGTGGCATTTATGGTATATAAGTATAATATATTACTTGGTGACTTGACCAAGCTTATATGAATTGTTACAGGTCTGGAGTAACAATTCCTTCTAGAATATTCCAGTGACGCCATGGAGCTAAATGATTTCATCAAGAGACATATGTTGTTTATGCTAGCTTCTGCATACCGCGTAACTCAGCATGCAGCCACATCTGTTGCAATGATAACTGTTTCATGATTCACTTACATTAACTCAAGTTCAGTGTTACCCACTCTTCTAGACTAACAACACCTTGCAGTTATTTCACAGAACCTTGATGAGGTTTGTGATTATTTTTCCTAGGATGAAACCGAATTCCGAGATAAATTATCTCCAATCAACATTAGCTTGAATTACAGTTTGGATGACTCCACCTTTAAAGAAGGCCTGCAAGTGAAACCAATTTTGAACTACTACAGAGACAACACAGTTACAGAACAGGTATGTCCTTGACGCTTTCTGATGCTGCTTCATCGCGGTCCGTCTGCGTGACCCGAAGAAAATAGCTGGCCCTTTTCATTTTCATTCCTGCACGCAGATATGTAATTAGGGAGGTTTTCCTAACAAGTTTGTTGAATACTGTGCCTTATCGTGATTTTGAAAGTCCTTCCCTTTATGCAGCCAAGATTTATTTTGTTCAAAATGTAACGGCAATAGAAACAATACAGCCAGTATATCATGCAGATGTATGATATACTAGTTAGCATTGTCCACAGACATTTCAAAACAAACTGAAAATGAACTCATAACAAAAACTAGGGTCTATCAGGACGTCAACTTAGAGTTTAGAGCTGGGTAGACTCAGGTGCAGTGAAATGAAAGCTTTGGTTCAGTTGATGGAATCCTTCAGAATTTTCAAGAAGAAAGAGGTGATTCAGACTCTCCAGATCATTTCTGATGCCTGGTTTGCTCAACACAGGCTCGCATCCTGGTGGACTGTGGAGAAGACAATCTATGTATTCCGGACTTGAAGCTGTCAGTCAGACCGTAAGTTTAAATAAATAAATGTATATTACACCTAATGAAATGCAGGTGTTTGTTTAAAGCTCCTTTTGAGGCAGTATATTCATCCAACAACTGGAGGGGGAAAGCGGTGTGTGAATTTCTTGAGAGTGGCCACACTTTGGGTCAGCCTGTGGGTCTGGGCAGTTCTCTATCACTGGTGTCAATTGACGCACCCTGAGGTCATTCCTGGGCTATTTCATCTTTCAGCATAAGTGTTTTGTTAAAAGTAAACTCTGGTGTGGCTGAGGTTGTACTCACTCACCTCACTAGTCACAGGAGCAAAGGTTCAGACAGGCAGGTTCCACCCACACCTTAACGGAACTTGTTTTCCAGCACCCCATGACTCAAAGGCATCGTTAAAACTGTCAAAACAAAATTAATTTTAATTTACTGGGGGCGGGGCGGGGGAGAGAAAAACTTAAAAGACACACCAGGGAGTCAAGGAGAAGGTGTCACAGAGTCAAATGAGAATCAAAGAGATTCATAGTTCCAGTAACGGGGAGCCCTGACTCTGACTGGTAATTGCGCTGTGTTATGTTACAGAAAGAAATTGGAGTAGCGCATAAAACATCCTAGGGAGAAGCAGAGCTCTGCTTCTCTCTCCCAGGAACTCCCTCACTGCCAGTGTTTGGAATCTGCTGGGTAATCTCTCGAAGGGACTTCCCCCAAAGTTCATAATTTACCAAGTGTCAAAAGCAATAGCTTTAAGTAGGGGTCAAAAGTGGAGGAGGCATTTCTAAATATTGGTTTCATTTGGAGTTCAAAGTGAATTAAGTTTCCTTAAAATACTTCAAACCCTCCATCAGCCATTTAAGACCTTGTTTCACCTGCCTGTTTTTCCATATTATCACCCCCACTGCAGTGTGTCCGGCACCCTTTCGCCTGCTAAACCAGCTCTCTCTCTTTTCCCACAACTCATTCTCATTCTAATGTGTATTCTCAGCAATGTGCTGGAGCTCCTTCACTCTGGCTCCTGTCACATGTTAAGATTGCAGGAATTTTGCTAGCAGATTGCTCAATCTGTTGGTAGCTTAAAATTGACCGCAGTGGGAGAGTTCACACACCACTGGAATCCACAGACGATAGAGGGCAAGTTTATTTTTCAGAATTAATTTTACACAATTACTAGTACACCACTGAGCGTTGTCCCGCCCTTTCCGCTCAGAAACTGTTCTCTAAGGCTTCCCACCGGCCCTTCCTGATGCTCTGTCTTCTTTCTCAGTCTAGTCTTGCATTTTCCCTTTTTTTTTTTTTTAATTTTTATTTTATGTAGGTAAGTGCACCTGTGTCGTGCAATGTCTGCAGAGGTCAGAAGATGATGTTGGATCCCCTGGGACTGGAGTCACAGAAAGTTGTTAGCTGCCATGTGGGTGCTGGGATTCAAACCTGGGTCTTCTGCAAGAACAACCAGTGTTCTCTTTAGCCTGCATTTACTCTTTTAAAAAAATGTTTCAGAAATATTCTATTTATAATTTTTATTTTATATGTATGAGTGTACTGCCTACATGTATGTAAGTGTACCTGTGTCATGCAATGCCCAAGGGGGTCAGAAAAGGGCACTGGAGGCCCCTGGAACTGGAGTTACAGACAGTTGTTAGATGCCATGTGGGTGCTGGGAATCGAACCCAGGTCCTCTGCAAGAGCAGCCAGTGCTCTTAAACGCTGAGCCATCTCTCCAGCCCCCTTTTATTTTCTTTTTTCCTCCTAAACCAGTTTTGTGTTCTGTTTTGAGACAGGATCTTGCTCTGTAGTTCAGGAAGGTCTCAAGCTCACTATGTAGCCCAAGTTGGTCTCAAACTTCCAACTGCCCTGTCAAGGTCTCAAGTGCTGGAATTTTGGGCCTGCAACAAACACAACAGTATTTAAATTCTTAAATAGAATATTCATGAAGTCAGTACATAAAGTTACATGATCACTCTTTTCAAACTGTATTTTTTAGAGATAAGCATCAGATAATCATTGGGGATGAGAATCACCTTATGCTCATCATAAACGCCAGAAACAAAGGGGAAGGCGCCTATGAAGCAGAACTCTTCGTCACGATCCCAGAGGAGGCAGATTACGTCGGGATTGAGCGCAACAACAAGGTACTACCGCTAACTAAAGTGAAGAGCTGCATATGTGCTTGAAGCCAAGTAAATATTGAATCGGGCCAAATAGGCCGAGTACTTCCTCCTAAATAAAGAAAGCAAAAGGGAACCTTCCTTTGTAGGCTCAGGACAGCAAAGATCCAGAGAGAATGGGCTGTAGACTATTAATACCTACGCTACAGCAGGAAGGTAAATTGGCCAAAGACTAGGGGCTGAAGCAAGAAAGAGAAAGGAACTGGTCAGTGAGGTATATGAGTTTATTTTCCAGGCTCACTCAGTCTTCTCACTGGCTTTTCAAGCCTTGTTTTGAGTTCCTTTAACTCCCAAGCATATTACACAAGGCCTGGTTTTTATTATTCACGAGGGAAGAAGAGCTAGCCAGTCCCTGCTGAGCACTGATAACAGCCTGGACAGGAACTGCAGAGGAAACACATTCATTTAAGCTTTCTTTTTCGTCCACTTGTTTGGGAGTATGACCAGAAGGACTGTTTCTTCCTCACGTGCCAGTTTTTAATGCTGTTGGTGACTGAAACGACATCAGTGCTGTAGGTGACCTTCCTGTTCAGTGCCACAGCATGAACCTTGCCACTCCACGGTCCTGGGAACCTGTGGTAGTCCTAATTACTTGGTCTAGAGCAGCATTATAAATGGCCGGATATGGTGGGGCAGGCTTGTAATCTCAGCAATCAGGAGGCTGAAGCAAAGGGATTGGGATTCCAGGCCTGCCTGAGCTACATATCAAAACCCTGACTGAAAACACCCAGAGCAAGCAAACAAACAGGAACCACCAGGTTAACAGAGCTTCTCTTCTTCAGACATATGCAAGACTTAGCAATTAAAGACAGAGGCCAGGTTTTACATACTATGGTTAAACACAATGTCACTACAAACCAGTTTCAAAACCAAGACCGATTACCTTGATGAAATTCTGATCAGATGTATATAAAAGAAACTCTTAAAAGCCAGCAGTACTTTACATATGCATCCATACACACACACACACACACACACACACGAGAATCTCATCTCAAAAATGGCCATGCTGAACAAAGCCATACACACTGGTGCTAGACATAAGGGCTTTCACTTGAAGAAAGCATTTTCAGAAATATCATTTACATTTTAAGACAGTAAATATTTCTGACTAGTTTCAAACTGAACAAGTGACAGAATTATATATTTCATTTGTACTAAAAGTTAACCATAGCCAAAAGTTACAGCAAGATTAAAACAAGCTAATGTTTAAACAGTTTCCATTAAAGACAATTCCATGGAAGAGGATAAAGAATGGGATGACAAGAAGTATTTAGTCTTAATGAGGCAATACAGAATTAATCTATTATTAGAGACCATTTAAGATTACCATTCCCAAAAGCGTAGAGTATAAGAAAAGAGCTTTCATGAGTCTGATTCAACTACAGTTGTTCACAGCTAACCCTTTCACATAGCAGCATGCGGGAACTTAGAATGAGAGTTGAAAGCACAAGCACACAGCACACAGGGTCAGAGGAGCCAGCAAGCCAAGTCTGCCTTGTGACTGAGATCTGCCTGCCTCTGCCTTGCGAGTCCTGGGATTAAAGGTGTGCCATCACACCCGGTTTCAGAAAGTGTTTTGTATAAACAAGTTACACTTAAAAGTTCCACATAAAGTTGGGCATGGTGGCACCCACCTTTAATCCCAGCACTCAGAAGGCAGAGGCAGGTGGATCTCTGTGAGTTCAAGGCCAGCCTGTTCTACATAGTGAGTTCCAGGACAGCTGGGGCTACAGGGAGACTCTGTCTCTAAAAGCCAAAAAAAAAAAAAAAAATTTTCACATAATAGACCTAGAGACATTGTCCAATAGATTTAAAGATGTTTAGGGTACCCAAATTTATAAGGCCTTTGTACTATCCAAATACCCTTATTTATAAATCTGCACGTCTATCTTAATGAGGCATGTCACAATGAAGGGAAAATAAAACCATTACCTGGTCTGGACGTCCATTCTGGGTATCTGTCTGGCTTCACCTTATGGGAGGCTCCAGTCCTGGGCTATGCATCTCTCTCTGGCCTCCTGGAAGGAGACCTGGAGAGGAAATTCTTCGGGGGTGCGCACTTCTCTGTTCCGGGGGCCAAGGGGGCTGCAGGGTCCAGGAGCAGCAGCCTCTATTACCAGTGAGGGTACGGTGACTTGTTCTCACTGGGGACCTCCACAAATGTTAGGGAAAAATCAGAGATGAACAGCTGGAGTCAGGTGAGGAGAGGAAGTTTAATAATTTGATGCTAGTGGGACTGACCCCAAGAATAAAAGGAGTCAGGCCCCTTGTTCAAGTTTTGGGGGACTTTTATATTCATGTATGGGGAAATGCAAACGAAAGGCAAAACAGCACATGGGTGACAATTAAGTAAAAGGTACATGTGATAATTAAGCAAGCGAGGCCACAAAGGTTACAGGAGTGTGAAAACTTTGGAAAACAAAGACTTCCATCTTGAGCAACTGCAAGGGGCAGGATGGGGAGACTCCTGCTCACCTCCCCCATACCTGTCTCTTAAGAGTTTTCCATGTTGCAAAGTTCTTAATTACCATCACATTGCAAAAGCTTTCCACCTCTACAATACTTTCCTGTGAATAAGCATATAACAAGCTTAGTGTTTGCTGAAGAATTTATATATTTAACTAAAATTTATTTTCTACTGCTTTCTCAAGACTCCATCCTCTAAGGAGTTTCCATATTCTAATGATTGAATAATTTTGTGGAAACTAATCTTTCTTTTGTGATGCTGTTATTGTAAAGGCCTTTGGAAACTTAGGGGAAGAGCCTAGGGTGGAGTTGTACCCCTAAATCCTAGCATGTGGGTGACTGAGACAGGATGATCAGAAGTCCAAAGCCAGCCTATACATAGGACTACAGGGTCTCAAAAGAACTCTGTGGATTCAGGGCCAACCTGGTCTACAGAGTGAGTTCCAGGCCAGCTGAGGCTACAGGGAAACCCTGTCTCAAAACGACCGGGGGCAGGGGACAGAGGGAGGGAGGGAGGGAGGGATGGAGGGAGGGACAGAGGGAGGGAGGGAGGAAAAGGAAAATGCAGGGGTCATACAATTCTCTTTCCCATTTCTAATCTCATGAATTCTTGTTTTAGTTGAATTACTTTCTCAGTTTAAAAACAAGCCAGTCAGGCATGGCGATGCACGACTTTAACCCCAGCACTCAGGAGTCAAAGGCAGTTGGATTTCTGTGCGTTCAAGGCCAGCCTTGAACATAAGGAGTTCCTAGTCAGGCAAGGGAGACATACCCTGTCTCCAAAAAAAAAAAAAAAAATCAAGTGAATAGAAATAAAAAATCATTGACAATCATTTAAAATCATTATAATTCAACTTAATAGAAACTTAATAGAACTTAATAGAAAAAATATCTGCAAACTCATTAAGTTGTATGCTGTGACTGTATATAGCTTTTTATATGTTGACTGTACCTTGTTAAGGTGGTTTAAAACAACAATGCAAAGATGTTTGACTTCTTCCTGGTTAGCAGAGAAGTGAGAGTGCTTACAGCCCTTCACCTCACCTTCTTCCTCCTTCATTTCAGACATGAAAATCAGTTTTGCCTAAATTTCCCCAAGGAATGACCTAAAATCACCTCATTTCCTCCTGCATACTCACTTCTCTGTTAAAGTTACTTCAATATTGAAAAATGTATATGAGAAATGTGAAGCCCTTGCACAGACTGTACCCATGGTGTACGAGCCATGATACAATCTCCAGGAGCAAAAAGGAAGAAAACTATCACCTGAAAATGCTTGCACAGGGATAATGTGCAGAACAAACATAAACTTCAGTGTTTGTAATTATTTTATTACGTGTGTGTGTGTGTGTGTGTGTGGTGTGTGTGTGTGTGGTGTGGTGTGTGTGGTGTGTGTGTTGTGTGTGTGGTGTGTGTGTCTGGTGTGTGTGTGTCTGGTGTGCTGTGTGTGGTGTGTGTGGTGTGTGTGTGGTGTGTGTTGTGGTGTGCTGTGGTGTGGTGTGGGTCGTGTGGTGTGTTTGGTGTGGT